GACAGAGAGAGACACAGCAAGAGAGGAAACACAAGCAGGGGGAGTGGGAGAGGGAGAAGCAGGCTTCCCCGCAGAGCAGGGAGCCCAATGCGGGGCTCGATCCCAGGACCCCGGGATCATGACCTGAGCCGAAGGCAGATGCCCAACGACTGAGCCACCCAGGCGCCCCTAGAGCTTACTTTTAATTAATTAATTAATTAAATTGTAGTGCATAGAGTGGGGAGAGGGCAGAATTTGATTCAGACAAATCTGAATTGGAACAGAGGATCTGTCTCTTCTTTATCTGTATAATTTTATTCCTTATTCATAAAAATAATTGAGTTTGAGATAGTATTTCTGAATGGGAGAGGAAAGAATCTCTGGGTATTTTACAAAGAGCCTGAACCTGATCTCTCAGGTATGCTACTTCATACTGAGGGGCTCCCACTCTCAAGCAATGTGTCATAGAAGTCAGATCATTCTGATTAAAAGAGGGCTTTCTCTAGGGTCTGGGACCCTAAATGCCTTTTGCTCTGGGGTTGACCAGGCAAGCTGCTTCTTGGATATGTGATTGAGATCCCAGCCTTCTGTTTGGGCAGGGAGTTAGTTAAGAGGCCCAGAGAGCCAGGCTGTAGATGCTCCTGACCCTCTACCACCAATGCCCTTGGCCCCCAAGTCACGGGCAGGGCCTGCATTGCATAGGGAGATTCACACAGGAGGTGAAAACCCGTTTCTCCTAAGCTGTTGGACCACATGCCTTTGCAAGTTCCCTTTACCCGGAGTCTTCTCTGACTCCGGGCCTGGGCTGACACAGACATCAGAAGCACTGCATGCACACAGCAATGTTCAGGGCAGAATCACCGACACAGGCTGGGGCACATCTGAGGCCCTTTGGGGAGTCTGCGCAAGGAGGGTCGAAGAGGGATGGGTGACGTCTTGTCTGAGGTCTAACCCCATTTGTGGAAAAGCTAATTCACTAGACTCAGAAGAAGAGCCAGCTCCTTCTGCTTCAGCCCCAGGTTACCTGGTCAGACCCAGGTCAGACATCTACCTACTCAAAGACCGTCCCAACCAATGCTTCCAATTAGGAATCCTTGGGACTTTATCTCCTCCCCTTCAAAAAGTTCCCAAAAGAGAAGGGGGAAAGGGGGGAAAAGGCCAAGTGCTCTGACCTGCAATGGGGACCGCTGTTGCCCTCCAGATAAGTGTGGCCAGGACAATTTGGCCACCAGCCTCAGAGGATTTTGTGCCTGCTGCAGGCTGGAGCAGAGAAACCAAAATCAGACCCACCCTGGAGAGACAAGTGTGACTTGGATGAGCCTTTCCACCTCCTACCTGAGCACCGCCCCTCTGAGCACCAGCGGGGTGGATTCTTCCTGTCTTGTCAGACTGGCACAGTGAGCCTCTGGAAACTTCTCTCGCTCCAACTGGAATCCAGCCCGACCAGCATCCATCAGGCTGCCATGACCTTGAAGAATGGTTTGGAGACATGAAGATCCCCCCAAATGGCATCATACAGTGGAAAATAAAAACAAAAAAGGTCAAGGGCACAGGATTGGTTTACCATTTTGTGAACTGATAACCAAAGAACTTTAAATTTATTTCTGATCCATTTTACTCATTGGAAGGAAGAAATGCAAGGCATTACATAATGCCAGTCGTGGAAAATACATCTTGCTATTTTCTTGTCCTCAGCTTTTTATTCTGTGTATGGTCTTGCTTCGCTGCAAGAAATCTAAATTTTATGTAGTAAAATTGATGAGGCTGTTTTTAGTTTCTTAAAAATATGCTTGGACAAGCCTTTCACTTTTTAAGTAAACTCCATACCCAGTGTAGAGCTTGAACTCACAACCCCCAAGATCAAGAGTCGCATGCTCTACTGATTGAGCCAGCCAGGTGCCCCAAGCCTTTCACCCTTTTATGTTTGTTTTTTTTTATATTTTTTATTTATTTGACAGGGAGAGACACAGCGAGAGAGGGAACACAAGCAGGGGGACTGGGAGAGGGAGAAGCAGGCTTCCCGCTGAGCAGGGAACCCAATGCAGGGCTCGATCCCAGGACCCTGGGATCATGACCTGAGCCGAAGGCAGACGCTTAATGACTGAGCCACCCAGGCGCCCCAGCTTTTCACCGTTTTAAATTCTGATAAAATCATCTGCTTCTTTTTCTATTTATGTCATAATTTATTTTTACGAAAACCAGGAGTATATTGCATATAGCAGTGGATCTCTAATTTGTGTGCTAATTGATAGAAAAGGAAATTTAGTGGGTCTGGGGTAGAGCCCAGGTCCCTGCATTTTTTATACGAGAAATGCTAATATATAAGATATGCAAATAATTTTAATGTTGAATTTGGGGTAACAATTCCTCCTCCCAGTGATCCTTCTGGAATTGCAAATCATACTTTCTAAAGAAGTAAACACATTGAAGCTACACAGTCAATCAAACAGAAACTCAGGGTTCATGACTGGGTCATAATTTAAAAAAATTATTAACCACTATCCATGTTTCTAGAATTAATAGGATCAATAAAACAATCTTAGGTGTTATAAGGGTAGTTTGAGAAATCATAATCTCTGATACACACATGCATATATATGTATATACATATATAGTACTTTAATGACTTACAAAGTACTTTTGAATGCTTCTTGGTGATGTGGGGTAGGGTAGAAGGGACATGCCCTAGCTTTAACCTAAGTCTTAATTTCCTCTTTAATTTATACAAGCTGAGCAAGTCCGCTGAATTGGTTAAGGCAAGTCTGCCGGAAAACCCTTGGGAGGGAATTTGCCCTGAGGCAAATGTTAGGCACCTAAAACCGTAGTCATTTTTGGAGATTATTTGGGAGGGAGGTTCCAATTCAGAATACACAGCATTATGGCTGGCCCACAAATTTGTCTCCTAGCCCAAGTCTCAGTGAATTCATGTTTGAATGAATTGGGGAAAAGATGAGGCTTTCAGGAAAAAAAGGGACTATTTTGCTAAGAACTCTTTAAGACCTTGAGGTTTAAGCAGCACTGGGATGCTATGCACCTGGATAAGTATAATATTAAAGCTGAAGGAGGGGCATTCTCCATTTATCTGTAGGAGATACAGTTCAGCTTTGGCCCAGGAGGGACTCCAGAGCAATCAGGGAAAACTTCGCAGCTGGAGGACCCAGGCACCTTAGCTGTGGGGCAGGGGGGCTTGGAAGGAGCAGGACCCAGAAGAGGCAGCTGTGCCCAGCAGTTGTGACAATATCCAAGGGAAGAGAATAGCAGGACAGAAATAGAATGTGGCACGCAGCTGGGATCTCACAGGAATTATTTCTGGGTGTAAGTGAAATCTCCTTTGGGTTCTATCCCCTGTATTTGAAGGGTATCTCTAGGAGTTGGGGGTCCTGTATGGGCAGATGGGGGAAAACCAGGCAGCTCTAGGATCTTCATTTGGCTCCACAGCCACCTTGTAAGTCAAGCATCATTCCTCTTTCAATGGGAAAAGAATGACCCTTAAATAAAAGTACCTGGTTTGTTTTTCTGCCTGAGATTTAAAAGAAACATGGGATTGGGGCACCTGGGTGGTTCAGTCCATTAAGCTCAGCTCAGGTCTTGATCTCAGGGTTGTGAGTTCAAGCCCGCATTGGGCTCCATGCTGGGCATGGAGCCTACTTAAAAACAAACAAACATGGGATTTACTTTTCTTTAAAGTTCTGAGAAGTATTTATTAAGTGCCACATTGTCTTTATAAGCTGATTGACAGTTTTTAAAGTTTTTCCCATTATATATTTTTTGCAACAAAAGTAAAATGTTTGTCTTGAAAAATGAGAAGTTCCGATGAAGCAAAAATGAAAAACAAACCAAAACACCTATTACCGCAGATAGCCACTGTTAAGCCATTTAAGTATATACTTTGTTTTCTCTTTGCATATTAATATATAAATATACATTTTTTACAAAAATGGGATACAACATATACTTTTCGAAAATTTTTTTTCACTTCACAATATATAATGTACATCTTTTCATGCAAATGGGTGAGACTCATGATTGAAAAAGGGAAACTTGCAGCTTGTGGGCGGGGAAAACCCAATTTTATGCCAGTTACAAGTGAAACACCTAGAATAAAGCCACGCGAAAAGTTATAATTGAGATGGGCAAAGGTATATGAGAAAATACCACCTTCAGGTGGCAATACTTATATCAGGCAAAACAGAATTAAAGGTCGAACACATTAAATAGGATAAGGACGGTTCCGTCTCGCCTTCCAATGCATAACCATCAATTTGTTGCGTACTCTTTTCATTTCTTCCATCTCCTCTGCTACCTTTATCATCTCCTCATTGCTTAAATTTCTGCCGTGTATGTCCCCTCTAAATTGCGGGCGAGAGCGAGCCAGCCTCTCTTTAAAGCTTCCTTCTTCTAGCTTATGTTTTCCAACTCCACAAGGAGGCTGCTCCATGGGAGGGCGCTCTTCAAACAGGTCCCTTCTAGAAAGGCGCTCCTGAGGAGGGCGCTCCTCGGACACCAGCATCTCGGGAAGGAGCTCGGGAAGGAGCTCCTCGGGAAAGAACTCCTCCTCCGAGGACTGCTCCTCGGAAGATGGTTCCTCCGGAGACTGCTTTTCGGGAGAGTGCTCCACAGGAGGCTGCTCCTCATCCGTCTTGGGTGCGCTCTGTGGCTGTTCTTCATTTTCTTGGCAGGATTTTTCCATGTTCAGGATGGTCTTTAGGTAGTTATTCATAGGAGACAAGCAAGGCAGAGTCAACCCACTTGGTGGCTGGATCAAAACCCCGGCCCCGGTTCCCATACCTGCCTTTCCCCGTGTCGGGGCCCAGGTTCCCCAACCTACGCTTGCCGAGGGGCTCTCCGGCCCTGGGGACCCCGCCGCGTCCCACCCCTCGCAGCCTCCCTCGCCCCCTCCTTCCCGAAAGCCCACCGTTTTCCCAGCAGGCCTTGCCACAGGCCTCTCCCGCAGTGGCAGTGGCAGTGGCAGGGGCGGGGCGGTGGTGCTGCCGACTGCGTTCCCGTCAGCGTCCTCCCTCGCACCCCATCCCGGGCCACTGCCCACCCTTTCCCCGACCTGGACCTCTCCTGGCGGTTTGCTCTAGGCGTCCTCTCCTCAAGGCGCACCGCGGTGACCTGCAGACCTGCAGACCTGCTGACAGACGCAAGACAGGGTAGGGGGCGGGGAGTGGGGAGGAGGGAAGGACTGAGTGACACCACACGTCCCTTTCCTGGGCATTAGCCGCCGCCCCCACGCCGGCCCCCTCTGCTACCCCTCCCCCAGGCCGCACCTCAAGCTTCATCCTCCGTGCCCCACCACCCCGCACCCCGCAGTGCTCGTCATTTTTTTTCAGGCGGCAAGTGCAAGCAAAGGATTACTTAGAAACTATTTCTAAGTGACTGTGTCCCCCAGGGGCCCCCACTCATCTCCCCACCTCACCCCAAGACCACCATTTTCTGCACCGAAATGTGGGCGCAGGGGGCGGGGCTGGGTCTAGGAAAAGGCCTGGTACTCTCTGCCATCCCGATCCCAGAGGTTACTGGGCAGCAAAGACCCTCATACCGATTTAAGAAGACCAAGGGGACTTACTTCCTTCTGCTCTTCCCCTCGACCAAAGGGCAGGAGGCAGACGGTGTCTGGACAGGCAAAAACGACCAGGAGAGAGGGACTTGGGCAGACATAGGCTCCTGGTCACGTGAGGGCCGCGCGTCACCGCCGAGCTCAGATCCCCAGTTACCACTTTGACCGCGGGCGGCCGTGCTGCAGCCTGCCAGTATTTCCTAACATGCAACACATCAGGCATCGTCACTCACCTCTTTGTTTATATTTGCCTTTTCCTGGTTACCAGAGACGGTCAGCATCCAGTCTTGGGAGTTACTGCCTCTTCTTCTCTGCTGCTTACCCTGATACCACCTCTCTCCCTTATTCTCCCGTTGTCTGCCACCAAGGCCCATTATTTCCCCTACGGGCCAGAGCCTGCACTGAAATTTGACTATTTGTCCTTAATGAATCGATACCATATGTCACCTTTCCCAGCTTTAATCCACATCTCTAACTCCATCAAGTCCGTTTAGGCTCTATCAACATGGTTTACTTGTCACTTTTATGGAAGATAAGCTTTCACTTTTCCATGACTTAAGGATTTTTTTGAGCCCCCAAACCTGTATTACAAATAGAGGCTCCAGTCTAAATTAATAATCATTCAGTTCTAGAACTCTAGAGTTGTTTGTAAAGTATGCAAATTAAAAACATGAATACTTTGATTTTCATAAATCAAAATACACATTTGTCCATCTAAGTACAAATAGTCTAAAAACGTATTTGTTATCTGTAATGGGAGCATTTTTGGTGGAGACTGTGGCATTATTATATATGTGTATATATGGATACTATTTTTTAAAATTTTTAAGTAAACACCACCCATGGGGCTTGAACTCATGACCCCAAGATCAAGAGTCACATGCTCCACTGACTGAGCCAGCCAGGCACCCCTATATGTATGTGTGTTTGTCTGTGTGTGTGTATACACACACATTTTTATATATATGTGTGTATATGTATATATATATGTATATATATATATAAAGAGATTTTTCTGGGACTCTAAATCCTTAACCAGCCACCTCTTGGTGTTGCTGGTCGAGAAAGTGTATGCTAATTCATTAAATCAGCAAGTATCTGGGTCCTGAGACAGCTGTACCCAAAAGATTCAGCACAGAAGATATTCATATCCAACTATGTAATAATTCTGTTGACCACACACTGAGTAGCAGGATTAAAATCATATTAACATATTCAATTGTCATTACAAGTATGTATGTTTAGATCTAATGGTGTTTTATGATCTTCAACCTCATGCCTGCATCTTACTACTCATATCAGCCTGGATGCTACCTTCTCATGCAGGTACCCTTTCTTCCAGAGAGTAAAGTATACCTCTCCTCTCTGTATTTTATAGTTTCAGGGTCGGTGGCTATCAGATCTGTGAGGATCCTGGGATCATTTTCTTTTTTTTTTTTTTAAGATTTTTATTTATTTGACAGAGAGAGACACAGCTAGAGAGGGAACACAGCACGGGAGAGGGAGAGGGAGAAGCAGGCTTCCCGCTGAGCGGGGAGCCCGATGCGGGGCTCGATCCTAGGACCCTGGGACCACGACCTGAGCCGAAGGCAGATGCTTAACGACTGAGCCACCCAGGTGCCCCTCATTTTCTTTTTCAAACCCAGGCTGTCTAGTAAGTTTCCAAACAAATTCATATGGGAATTTTCCTATTTTAAGAGCTTTTTGTCACTTTTTTCCAACATCTAATTTACTTTGTGTTGAGATAGCAAGACAAATATTAGTTCACTTTTGTATCTTTTCCATAAATGTTTTACTTTTCAATTTTTCAGTGATGTGTGTCTTTTAAAATCCAAGTTTCACTATGCCTTTATTCTTTTCACCAAAGGCTGGCTTCATCATTTGTATGGTTTCTTTCCAAGAGGACCCCCATTTTATTCATTTCTTCACTTCTATCCTTTTCCCCCTTACATCCTGTGATGAAGAACTCACTACCTTAAAAGACACTGATTGAAATTTCATACAGCTGTAGTCATTCAGAGTAGTTTTTCTTTTATTGAGCTGATACCTGCCTCCCAGTAGTTTACATACATTGGTGTTGGTTCTGCCCTCTGGAGTGATACGAAACAAGAATGAAGTAACAAAAGTGCCTTTTACCCTTGATAGCCTGACACTGCCAGAGTTAATGTTCTAGTTCTTTCCCCTTCCCAGTTGTGAGGCACACTGGGCAATCTACTTGAACTTTCTGTGACTCAACTTCCTCATCTGCAAAACTGGAGACATAATAATACCTACCTCATGGGATTGGGAAAATGAGTAAGTAAGTCCGTATATGTAAAGGACTTGGAAAGGTACCTAGCACATAGAAAGCACTCTGTAAGCATTAACTATAATAATAGAAATAGTAATAATATGACCTAATGCTAATATTACTATGAATTATTGTTTATTTTAAATTTTTATTTTAATTTAATTTTTTTAAATTATTGTTTTTTCTTAAGGTTCTATTTATTTATAGAGAGAGAGCGAAAGCGAGAGAGATCACAGAGGGAGAGGGAGAAGCAGACTCACCACTGAGTGGAGAGCCCCATGCCGGGCTCTATCTCAGGACCCTGAGATTATGACCTGAGCCGAAGGCAGACGCTTAACTGACTGAGCCACCCAGGTACCCCTTTAATTATTGTTTTTTAAATTAACATTAATTCAGCATGTATGCCAGGTATTGTGCTAAGCATTTTCAATATGCTATCTCATTTAATCCTTAAACAATTATATTCTCACCAAGACTTTTTTATTTAGGCTTAACCTCCCCAGTTATTTCAGTTCTTTCTGATATGATATACTTTTTCAAAGTCTCTCACCATCCTACATGCTCCTGAATTTGTAAATGCCTCTGAAAATACTGAATGTTCTGCCTAGTGTAGAATGGAGTGATCTTATCACACCTTCATTCTAGAGTAACTACTATACATCTGTAGATGCATCCTAAGATCATACTAGATTTTTAGATGCCATATCACAGTTAAATCCACTTTAATTGCAATCACCTGACACCCCCAAATCTGTTTCACACATCCCTGTTAATACACTTATATAAATCTTTCTAATTTCTAAAATTTTAATTCCAATATAGTTAAATACAGTGTTAAATTACTTTCAGGTGTACAATATAATGATTCAACAATTCTATGTCTTACTCAGTGCTCATCAAGATAAATGTACTTTTAATCTCCTTCACCTATTTCACCCATCCCCCACACCCACCTCCCCTCTGGTAACCATTCGTTTGTTTTCTATAGTTAAGAGTGTGTTTTTTTGGTGTATCTCTTTTTCCTTTGTTCATTTGTTTCTTAAATTCTGCATATGAATGAAATCATATGATATTTGTCTTTCTCTGACTGGCTTATTTCACTTAGCATAATACTCTCTAGCTCCATCCATGTTGCAAATGGCAAGATGTCATTCTTTTTTATGGCTGAATAATATTCCATTGTATATATATATATGCCACACCTTCTTTATCCATTCACCTGTTGCTGGACAGTTGAGCTGCTTCCATAGTTTGGCTATTGTAAATAACGCTGCAAAAAATGTAAGGGTGCATATATGTAAATCATTTTAATTTTAACCCAAGTATAGAAACGTCTGTTTTTCTGGGCTAAATGTTGTCTTGTTAGATTCACTCCCTTATTCTTTGAATCCAAATTCTATCATTCAGTACATTAGCTACAAAATGTTAATTTAAAGCATGCCATTAGTACTAAATAGGCTGATAAATTCAGCAAGTTAAGGAAAGATCTAGGGGAGATCTCAGCAAAGAGCTCTAACTACAAATGAAAAAATTCCTTTCCCCTGTTGGGTTTGGCGGCCAGGAGCGTGCCCTGCCAGGCCTGTTCCCCTCCTTTCCTCTCTCAGTGTGACCTTGTAGGGTGGGATTACTTTCTAGTGCTGCTGATAGTAGGAGACACAGTTGCCCCTGAAATCTCCCAAACTAGTATAAATTAACCCTTGTTGAGAACTTGGCAAACATGGGGGTCAGACAAGGGAGGTATAAAGAACTAGAACCAGGAATGGAAGGAAGAATGAAGACAATGTCTTTGTGTTGGCTCTAAGTCTCTGCCTGACAGTAACTGATTTGGGGTTCCCTTGAGAGAAAGGGCTCTCAAGAGGAAATAAGATGAAGGTGGTTCTGCCATGGTGACAACCATTTGTTACAAAGGAATGTGGTCTGCCACTTGTGTGTGGTTGGGGTGGGTGCTATGAAATAACCCTTCTTCTGGATTTGATTCGATACTGCTAACATAGGGTCCTGTGAGGACATGTTGCTGGGCTCACAATTGCTAGGGAGGGTTTAAGTCTAAGAAATGCCATTTTATTTTATTTTTTTTAAAGATTTTATTTATTCGACAGAGAGAGAGCACAAGTGGGGGGGCAGCAGGCAGAGGGAGAGGGAGAAACAGGCTCCCCACTGAGCAAGGAGCCCGATGTGGGGCTTGATCCCAGGATTGAAATCCTAGCAGTATGATGTAAGAGATGAAACCTTTAACCACCTTGTAAAACTGCTCCTGGGCTGTGGGCTCCAGGCACGTTTACATGCAGCCAGGGTGGAGAGTATAGGCCTTTTCAGGTAGCAGGAGCTGAAGGAATCAGAAGGCAGGCAGGGCAGCCCTGCAGGCAAGGGGGAGGGCAGTCAGACCCTGGCAGCTGCTGCCATGGCAACGGTGTCCAGGGCTCTGGCCTTCCTCTGGGGGATCTGAGGAAGCCAAGGGTGAGTTTCTGGTGTAGGGATTCCCATTCTCTGGTGAGGCTGCCCTTCTGTGGCAGAAACAGAGCCCCCTCCATCTGAGCCCCTCCAGAGCACAGATTCCATGCAGGTCTGGTTTCACTTTGCAGGGCCTGTCCGCCTGGAGTCCAGGAGGAATGCCCTCTCCAGCTCAGAGGTTCCCCCTGCTGCCGCCGCCTCTGCATTCTTTCCTAATGACACCCATGGCAGCATTTTGGTCTCAAGACTAGCTGCTGTGGATTGCAGCAGGCCCTGTCCAGCCTGTAGCTCTCAGGCTCTCCCCCACTTTCGTCCCGGGGGAAATAACCAAGTGGGAAATGCAGAGACAAGAGCCTTCTCTTTTCTGCTTCTGGCCTCATCCTGACTGGGGCTGGACACACACTCACTCACACCCCCCCACACACACACTCACACCACACACACACACACACACACTCACACACTCTCTCTCTCTCTCTCTGTTCCCACTCCTATGCCCAGAGAAACAAGGAAGGGGCTCTGAGGAAAGGTGGGGTAGCAACTCAGGCTGCTGGGAAACACTCGGGGGCTGGGAAGGCAGGTCCGACCTGGGCCAGAGGGAGGCAGTACCAGGCTCTGGGCTGGACAGGAGGACCCAGGCTGTCACTTACTTGCTGGAGGGCTCTGGAGGCCCAGGAGGCTTCTCTTCCTCTTCAGGCCTCTGTTCATGTCCTCCTCCTTCTCCCTAAAAGGTGGAGCAAGGGGTTGTGGGAGAACAAGGAGCGAGGTCCCTTCCAGCTCCAGGCTGCCTGCCATGGTGAGGAAGGGCTTCTCTTAGGAACAGCATTTGGTCTGAGTGGGAACCTCTCCAGACTGTGGTGCTGCTTTTCCCACGCTCCAGACAAGGTCAGAGCGCAGAACGTGTGCTATGCTGGCCTTCCCTGCCGGTCTCCAACGTACACACTCACAGCCTTACTCCTGGCCTCAGGGACTCTCAGACGGGCCCAGGACAATCCCAGTCTGAGGTCTGGATGACAGAGGTTGGGGCAGAGGCAGGGTAGGCTACATAATTTGCTAGGCCCTTTGTAAAATGATAATGCAAAGCCCCTTGTTCAAAGAGCAAGGGAAAAAGTACCTTTAAAGGGACTAAAATATAAAGCTTTTCTTTCTCCTGTGGTCTCTCTTTTGACTTTTCATTTTTTTAAGTAGACTTCATTTTTTAGAATAGTTTTGGATTCACAGAGAAATTAAGAAGATATAGAGAATGCCAATATGTTCCACACCCAGTAGCACCTTACATTAATATGGTACATTTGCTATAACTAATGAACCAATATTGACATATTGTCATTAGTTGAAGTGTATACTTTATTAAAATTTCCTTTTTTTTTCTTTTTTAACTAATGCCCCTTTTCTACTCCTGGGCCCCATCCAGAATGCCACATTACTTTTAGTTGTCATATCTCCTTAGGTTCCCCTTGGCTATGACAGTTTCTCAGACTTTCTCTGATTTTTTTTTTTTTTTAAAGATTTTTATTTATTTGACAGAGAGAGACACAGCAAGAGGGGGAACACAAGCAGGCGGAGTGGGAGAGGGAGACGCAGGCTTCCCGCGGAGCAGGGAGCCCGATGTGGGGCTCATCCCAGGAGCCTGGGATCGTGACCTGAGCCAAAGGCAGACGCTTAACGACTGAGCCACCCAGGCGCCCTCTCAGACTTTCTCTGATTTTGATAACATTTACAATATCTAATGGGATTTGGCTGATGTTTTTCTCTTGCTTAGACTGGGATTATGGGTTTTGGGGAGGAACATCACAGAGATAAAGTACCATTTCATTACATCATATCAAGGCTACATGCTATCAATAGGATTTATGACCATGGATGTTGACCTTGACATGGTGCTTTTTATTTATGTAAAATTTTGTATTATTAGCATGAATTTTATAGTTCATCACTGTATTCTTTGATGCCAGTTTTAAGTGCAAACACAAGAGCATTTGACTCATATACAGAATCACCAAAATTGCACAATTCATCTTTTGTAGCTTGTACATGCATTTGTCTTACTTCTTACTGGAATAATGGAAATGCTGCACAGAAGTAAACTTTCTATTTCTTTTCTTGATACGTGTACATCTGCACATTCTACAAAAGGACTGAAAGGTGAAGAGCTGTGGGTTGCTCTATTTTTCCTTTCCTTCTCTTTTTTTAAAGTTTCTTTTTAATTTAAGTAATTTCTACACCCAAAGTGGGGCTTGAACTCACGACCCCAAGATCAAGAGTCGCAGGCTCTTCTGACTGAGCCAACTAGGTACCCCTCCCTTTCTTTCTTTGTCATCATTTTCAATAGAAGTGGTTGGCAAATACAGGGAAGTTACACATGCAAGAATGGCTATGATTGGGTTTCTTGGTCATTTGTGTCTCTTAGAATGCATTCTGTGTTGGAAGTAAGTTCTGAATGGAACCAAAACGGTCGCCACTCCTGGCAGTTAGCAGTCATAGAAGTAATATGCTCACCATTTACTTGCTCCAGTACATCATGTAGTATCTTTGTATGGTTTTGGTAACAGGATAATAGTGGCCTCATAGGATGAGTGGGGAAGTATTCTTTTTTTTTTTTTTTAAGATTTTATTTATTTGCGAGAGAGAGAATGAGAGACAGAGAGCATGAGAGGGAGGAGGGTCAGAGGGAGAAGCAGACTCCCTGCCGAGCAGGGAGCCCGATGCGGGACTCGATCCCGGGACTCCAGGATCATGACCTGAGCCGAAGGCAGTCGCTTAACCAACTGAGCCACCCAGGCGCCCAAGTGGGGAAGTATTCTATTTTTTGGAAAAGTTTATGAAGCAGTGGTACTCATTCGTCTTTATATGTTTGGTAGAACTTACCAGTGAAGCCATCTGGAACTAGATTTTTCCATCTC